ACATTAATTACCTTAGAAATTTTACAAATTTTGAATTAGAATGGTTGCATAGGATCATGAGTGTATCTCTGCTATGTATACTTGACTCTTGGTAAAGAAAAAGGAAAATCTGTGACAATAATCTGCCAGGTAAGAGTTTTGTACCTTTAAAAAAAAAAAGGGAAGTTGTCTTCCAGCCTGTCAAAAAAAAAAGTTAATATTTGAATGTTGTAAATCAACCTTACCATCATGAATTTCAAACGCCAGACTTGTGATCTTCTGTGTAATTATCATCATTGGTCTACAAGAGAAACAAAACAGCTGTAACTGTACTAGAATACGGAACATGAAGACAAGCAGGATGCCAATCAGTGCAATTCCAGCTGTGACCCTTGACAAGGAAGTTAAAAAACTTGCCCCCCGTATCCTGTGCAAGAGTCAGACTGGAAATAGCATGTTACAAAACACAAATACATTATGTTCCAAGCTCCATGGTCAATTAGGTGAAAGACCTCTGGCTTGGATACATGGACACTTCAGACCCCTTGAGTGAGCAGGAACCAGGCTGGGTCAGAAGGACACAGAACATCTGCATCGTAGCAGCACTTCGTTCAGGGGGCAAGAGATTATTTACACATACAGTATGCATCATCCCAGCCTTTTGAAACCTTGCATAAGGAGATCGTAATATCTGACATTTACTGTAGAATAATAAGACTGCCAGTTGCATTAATCTTGGCACTTGTGCTGTAAGGTATATAATAAGTAAGCTGAAGGTTTGCTCTTAAGGGGACACTGATTAATACTGTGTGCCCTCCTACACTACAGAAAACACATTCAGTGGGAGGGAGCTTCCTGAAATTATCAGGAAGCAGGCAGCTGTTGTCCAGATGGCTTTATCAATGAAGAACCTACTAAATTAAAATTAAACGCAAAGTGATATAAAAGTAATTTCCCTGTTTACCTAGAGTTGCCACTATCGATCTTGCATTTTCTAAACATGACAAAATGTTTAGAACGATCTTTAATTCCAATGAGGTAAACCTTTAGTTTCATGCACAGTGCATGCTACCTTCTGTGAGGCCTGCTATTAATATTGAAGACTTTTGAGCTGAGCAGTAATTAAACACTCGATCTCTCCTTTAGCTTCCCCTCAGAACCAGAGACAAATTCAATTACAAAATATACTGTGCTCTTATCATTCTAATTAGGCTCTTACACACAGAAGTAATTTCCCTTTCTCATACGAAGGCCAACTCTGGTTTGGTAAGGTAGAGCAATTGTTTTGAAATTGTCTACTTTTCAAGCCTTTCTAAATTGGTATGGTCACTTGCTAATCTACTCAACTTTCTCTACAGCCTTCACAAGAGACTCACACCAGCAATAGGGGGTGGCAGAGTCTCTGCACATTGTGCTCTGAAATACGTACTTGTCAGACATGATGTCTGCATTTCATTTTGATGAGTCCCCCAGCATCAACCTGTGTGTGAGCATTGACTGGAGGCGTGATGCAGCTCTCTCATGCAACAGGTGTGCGAGCATTGACTGGAGGCGTGATGCAGCTCTCTCATGCAACAGGTGTGCGAGCATTGACTGGAGGGATGAGGCAGCTCTCTCGTG